GAGATAGTTTTGGCCATCACAGCGGAGTACACAGACTGGGCCAGACCCGTGCAGCATCCGGTCAACATCCGTGATCTGACAGCTGAAGCTCTGTATGACGCTGGCTTCGTATCCCCCGTCACTGTGTCAGCCAACCAGCTCTACACCCCCGCCAGGTTCACCTACCTTTACGTCCTCGACTACCGAGCTGACGAGCCTGACCCCGTGGTATGTTTGTGCCGACCCTGTGGCTTTGAACCTACTAGGGCAATGTGGTAGGTTGTTTTTGAGAATGACCTGCCAATCGCGGGCCAGTAGACGTACTGCAGTACCCATCCGAGCTTAGGTTCTCTAGTGCCTGTTGTCACCTGTGGTTGGTAGCTGCTTACCCTGTGGATAAGTACCTGCTGTCTCCCGCTGTAGGTACCTGCTTATCAACACTGATTATATTTTCCAGGGTGTTGACAGCATCCACTAGAACTCGACTTTCCACAGACATATCGAATTACTTTTGAAATGGACGAGTTTCTTCATATCGTCAATATTCCATTGTTGTTGTTGTTCCTCTTTTCGAAAAAGGGACATGGAGCTGATGTAGCTTTTTTTGAATGGGTCAATTGAAAGTTTCCCCTTTCCCCTCTCACCTTTCCTTCTCAGCTTCCCCTCTCTCTTTCTCGTTCCTCGCCTCTCACCCCTTTCTATCCTTTCACCCCTCCACCTTTAAATCCCCTCTATCATTGAACTCTGCGTCTATTTCTTCCACCTCCTCCTCCTCCTCTTTCTCTTCCTCCTCACCTCCCCCTCTTCCCCCTCATCTACCCCTCCATCTCTGCCCCTCTCAGGAAACCTATTCAATATAATTACCCAAATTAATAAATAAATTAGATAAATTAAGCTAAGTTTGCCTTGTCAATTTTGGGGCAAAAATATAAATTAGCTTACAAATAAAACTCTTCATAACTATAGATGTAACTTCACAATATATTTCGGTCAGTCTTGGACCATTATTAAGTCAGTCATGACTTGGCAGTGGCCCAGGTTGGACTGAAACGGTCGTGGGAACCTTCCACTCTCAGTGAAGGTTATTCATGCAATGTTCCAGTAACGATATTATTGATATTATTATTATTATTATTATTATTATTATTATTATTATTATTATTATTTATTATTACCTATATTATTATTATTATATTATTATTATTATTATTATTATTATTACCTATATTATTATTATTATTATTATCGCCATTATTATTATTATTATTATTATTATTATTATTATTAACACCATTTTTATTATTACAATTATTATTATTAATTACCATTATTACTATTTTCATTGGGAAGCCCTAAGCCCGTAGGGATCCAACAGCACCTGAGAAATCCCTTAAAGGATAACAACTCCTATTCCTCGAAACAGGAGCTCTTCGCATGCCTCCAGGTACCTCCCTTTAAGGGTAATGGAATGATGCAAACTGGAAAGCCCTGAAAATTAGGGAAATTTGGCCCTGGGACCGCTTTTATACAGCAATAAATCAGGTCTCTGGATCACCAGCCTGGGTCCACGTTACTCATTACTGACAGTTACTCGATCGTCTAATCTCCTGCCAGGATGCTGTACTTGCAGATAGTTTCAGTGCTGCTAAGATAATCCAGCTTTACCTGCTGTTAAGGATACTCTGGTTTTCAGAGACACTTCAGCTGTTAAAGATACTCCAGCTGTTGTTAAAGATACTCCAGCTGCTGTTAAAGATACTCTAGTTTTTGTAAAAGATACTCCACCTATTCTTTAAGATGCTCCAGCTGTTGTTATATATATTCAGCTCTTGTTACAAATTTTCTAGCTATTGTCACAGATACTCTAGTAATTGTTAAAGATACTCGTTGCCCTGGTACAAATCAAACTAATGCTCAAATAGATACTTCAGGTACTCTCATAGATCTTTCAGGTGCTCTAATAAATGCTTCTGGTGCTCTAATAGATTCTTTGGGTGCTCTAACAGATTCTTCAGGTGCTCTAATAGATATTTTTCAGGTTGCTACAGATGTTTCCTGTGTTCTTTTTTTTTTAGGTATTTCCGATGTTTTAAACATGTTGTTAGTTCTTATAGATACTAACAGTTCACGTATAGATACTAGAAGTTTTTAAATAGATATTAGATGTTCTTAAATAGATACTATTAGTTCTTACATAGATGCTAGCAGTTCTTATAATAATAATAATAATGATAATAATAATAACACTGGCCAACAAGAAAATTTCGTTGTTCAAACATGATAAGATTTTTCAAAATGGCGCTAATTTGTGAGATATTGCATACCTACCCTCATTTAGCAAGGAACTTAGCTATAACGCGTTTATATGTACATGTAGTAACATTTTGTATATACACAGAGTATTAATAATCATTAGAATTTTAGTTTTAAATTATTTAATATTTAACGAAGAGAGTTGTATCAACAACGACCACTTGACAATATTTGTGTGATAAATGGTTTAAAAAAAAACCGACAAGTTGAAGATTGAGACACTTATGCAAGATATGGGAATCTTTATTGAGGAAACGCTTCGCCACACAGTGGCTTCATCAGTCCAATACAAAGCAGAAAGGTGTAAGGAGAGGAGGAGTTTGAGGTACTCAGTCCCTCAGCCTGGAGCCGATGTGTTCAGTCCATTAATCTTGTAGAATGTACATTCTACAATATTGCTGTATCCTTTAGCTTTTTTTTTTTTTTTTTGCCAGATAAACATGAATTCTTCGCGAAGAGTCTGCTTAAACAATCTCAATGCATTTTGATATATTTGTGGCGAGTACTCTTTCGAAAAACAAAGTAAAAAAATCATAGATTTTGTAAAACAAGCTTATCTTGCTTATTTTGTAGCAACGCTTGGAGAACAAGACAAGTCTTGGGGCTCCCCATATGGTTTGTAAACCATGTTTAGAATGCTTACGACTGTGGAAAAGTAGGCCTAGGAGAAGTTTAATCTTGGGTGTGCCTATGGTGTGGAGAGAACTGAGAAACCACCACGATGATTGTTATTTCTGTTTGGTGAATGTGAAAGGTTTCGATTGAGACAAGAATGTCAAGTGGGATAATTCTGATGTGGAGTCAGCAAGGTGACGTGTGCCACACAGTGAAGACGTTACCATACCAGTGTTTACAACACTACCTGACCTTCCCTTGTCAGTTGTTGAAGAAACTCAAGGTTTAGGATGTAACGCAGGTAATTTTAGTGGAAGTGAATATGAAGCACACAATTCAATACCCCAGCAGTTCTCCCAAGAACTCAATGGTAACCTATATACTCCCAGCGAAACTTAAAGAAGAATGCGAAAATATAAAAATGGTATTGCAAAAGCTTAGCTATCATGAACTAAAGATGTCTATTTGTGTTGATCTAAAGATGGTAAAGTTCTTGCTTGGGCAACACAGTGGATATACAAAGTACCCTTGTTTCATCTGTTTGTGGGACAGTAGGGTGAAGGCAGATCATTGGACAAAAGTGACAATGGCCTTCAAGAGAAAACATGTCTGTACGTGCAGCAATCATCATTAATGAGTCATTGGTTGACAGGGACAATATTATTCTGCCACCACTCCATATTAAGTTAGGGCTAATGAAGCAAGTCATTAAGGCCTTGGACAAAGATGGCAATTGCATCAAATACATTTGTAGATCGTTCCCTGACTAAGTTTGGAAAGCGGTCCTCAAATTCGAAAGCTTATCAAGGATTCTAATTTCACAGAATGTATGAATGGTTTTAAAGTTTCTACATGATGCAGTTGGTAATCACAAACCAGACAATTATGAAGAACTGGTGCAAAACATGCTGACAAGCTTCAAGAATTTAGGTACTAATATGAGCATAAAGGTTAACTTTCTCCATAGCCACCTGGACAAATTTCCACACAATCTTAGTGATGTCAGTGAGGAACAAGGGAAGAAGTTCCATCAAAATATAAAGGTGATGGAGGAAAGGTATCAAAGTAGATGGGATACACACATAATGGCAGACTATTGCTGGAGCTTCCAACGGAACTGTACTGATGACCAACATAGAAAGAATCGTACCAACAACGTTTTCGTATGCAGTAACTAGTGGTATCTGAATTATCTTAATATGTTATTCTGTTATTGTATAGAATAAAGTGTTAGTATGTATTACGTGAATTCACTTTTGCATGAGCTAAAAAAATAATGTCAGTATGACTGTGAGTTAGCCCCGCCTGATAAATATGTCTCTCTCATCTATGTTTTCAACGGGATGACAAATTTATCAAAAACTAGAGCCAATAAAGAAAAACCAATGACATATTCGGAAAATGATTGTTGACCAGTGAATAATAATAATAATAATAATAATAATAATAATAATAATAATAATAATATTTTTTCTACAGGTATATGCACTAGCAGTTCTTATGTAGACACTAGCAGTTCTTAAACAGATACTAACGGTTCTTTTATAGACACCTGGAGTATACCTGAAGAGGGTTTCCGGGTTCAACTCCCCCGCGGACCAGTTTGAAGACAGCCAGAGGACTATTAGTAATCCCCCTTATGTATGCTGGGAGGCAGTTGAACAGTCTTGGGCCCCTGACGCTTACTGTGTTGTCTCTCAGTGTATTCGTGGCGCCCCTGCATTTCATTAGGGGAATGTTGCATCTCTTGCCGAGTCTTTTGCTTTCATAGGGAGTGATTTTTCGTGTGCAAGTTTGGTACTGATCCCTCTAGGATTTTCCAAGTGTATATTATCATGTATCTCTTTCGCCTGCGTTCCAGGGAATACAAATCAAGGAACTTCAACCGTTCCCCAGTAATTTAGGTGCCTTATCGTACTTATGTCTGCCGTGAAAGTTCTTACTAGTAATTCTTTTATAGATTCTAGTATTTCTGATAAAGATACTAGTAGATGTTATATAGATACTAACAGTTCTGATTTAGATACTACAGTTCTTAAATAGATAATATCATTTCTCATATAGATACTAGTAGCTCCTATATAGCTACTAGCAGTTCTCATATAGATACAAGCAGTTCTCATATAGGTACTAGTAGCTCATATGTAGATACTAGCAGGTCTTATATAGACACTAGCAGTTCTTATATACATAAGTTCTGATATATATGATAGCAGTTCTGATGTAGATAACACCAGTTCTAATATGCATACTGGCAGTTCTTATATAAGTACTAGCGGTTCTTATATAGATGCTATAAG